GTATCGAGCTACTCGCATTGCTCGATACCCGGGTATCTAGAGCTCTACTGCATACCCAAAAACTTATAAAAATTCTGATTAAAAAGTTCCAAATTTAGATAAAACGTGTTGAATTTTTCTGAATTCTGTATAAAGTGTGGAAGTGTGATTTACATAAATGGGTTTTGTTAAAGCATGAAACATATTTTTATAAAAAAAATATAAAAAAAAATTTGTACCGGAAGAACATTGTAAATATTAAAAACGAAACACCATTCATCCACTTTTGACCGCCACTGTACATATTTTGACGTAAAGTTTCGGCTAATATCCAGTTAGATTTCATTAAGCTAAAATTATGTTTGATATGGGGACAGCCGCTGTGGCTGAGTGGTTAGAGGTACTAACTGTATCTAAATTAGAAAGTTTTTTCTAACAGTGGTCACCCCTGGGCAGGAATGTATTTCTGCCATGAAAAAGCTCCAATTGCCGTTCAAAGCCGGCGTAAAACTGTAGATCGATCCCTCCATTTGTGTAACAACAGCAAGACGCACACCTCAAATTTGAGAAGCTCGGCAGAACACTTATCAAAAGTGTAGGCGCCAAAATACTAATGTTAATGATGAGAGTAGGGATGAAACGATACCATGCAGATATCGATACTTTTACTTGGAAGTAGTATCGAAAAAAAGAATCGATGCCTGAAAAATATCGGACGTAAAGTATCGATACCTCCTCGTATCGGTACTCATTGTGTATTCCTCTGGAAATCCTAAACTCCGAATAATAAAATAAAAATTTAATAATGTAGGAACTGAAAATAAATAAAACTCCGTTGCATAGCAGAACTACATGTTTAATTAATCGTATTTATGTTTTTCCAAATGTTTACCAGTCAACCGATTTCTTGACATGGTTATTGTTGCTCCTGCTTTCGAAAAGAATCGTTCACAAGGAACAAATGTTGCAACTATATGTGAATATGATCGTGCTTGTTTATACAACAAAGGAAACGCAGTTTTTAGCTCATCCCATTCTTCTAATGGGTTCGACTTCAGGGAGCATATTGGACTCGATAAAAAGAATTAAACCTATATTTTTATTTTGAACAAAAAAATTTTTGGGGGTGGCGCTAATGTTTTTTTTATAAAAACGCTGATGTTTTAAATTTTTTTATTTTCGTGACATGTTATAGTGCAGCTAAAGCAATGTCATGGGTTCAAACTCATTACCAGGGGATTTCTGGGGTCGCTGATTACGCATCTGATGTAGGGATGTTAATTTTTCGGCTTTTTCCGATCCCGGGATTAGTCCCGGGATTTAGATATTCATTACTTTTCAACAACTTGAATCGAA